TCGTAACGTACCCTAACTGTGTACCAAATTTCAACTTTCAACTCATAACCGTTTGAGCTCTGCACTTATTATTATCATCATTATCAACTCGTCTCGATTATATATATAGATGGGAACTATAAATTCTTTTGTTGGGTTGTTATGCAGATCTCCTTATTGCTTAATATCAGAAATGCAAAAATGATTTAATGTTTTTGTTAAATACATAATCTGGGGATCGATAAGAAAGCAAATATTCTATAAAGGGGTTAATGGGATAAAAAGTTTGGAGACCCCTAGTTTATAGTAAGGTGAATCATATAAAAAATAATCTTTAATCATGCTCAAAGCCTGTATATTTCATGAAATTTTTAGAAAAAATAGGAAAAGAATTAATGAAATTTGAATATAAAAACTAATTGACATAATTGAACAATGAAACTAAATATTCTTGTTGTTTATACATACAGAATATTACAAGATAATCTTGAAAGCTTGCATAATTTTAGCTTAAAAATTTTTAGTTATATATAATCTTTCTAAATTAATTACCCAAAGTTATTCTTCATTAAATGCTTAGTATGGAAACAAACAGTTCTGTTAAAAATTGCATTGCAACAGAGTTTATATTGGAAATGACTAATTATTATTGTTCATTACATCATTCAAAACCATTTAATAAATGTATGCTTGATTACTACTTTTCAAGTAAATATTCCACTCTAAATGTTTGGCAAGTCATCTCAAAGTTAATAATTTAAAATATACTTTTTATTCCATATTTGTTATTAATTTGCTTTGATAACATTATGATAAAATTGAAGAGTATGTTAAACTCATAAATTGAAAATGTTTTTAGGATTTTTGTCTGGTAGGCAATAATATCTTTTTTGCAAAATACAGATACTACTTTATGAACAGATGCTCAATAATTTACATACCTTATTACATTACATTTCTTGATATTTATAAAACATTTGTTTTCTATTCCACATTTAGTCCAAAAGCAGTTCAGGTGTAGAAAAAGCTATAGGATAAAATTGTTTTGCATGCATATAAATATATATATGTACTAAAGTCTTTGTTAGAAATTTGCTTGCATTATAACAACATTTACATAGAAGCATTTGATACTTGTTTCTGTGTGGAAACATTGTCTCAGTATCATATAATCAATGTATTTTTATATTTCTGTTACATAACATTATGTAATTTTCCTAAATTATCTTACTTGATATCTTAACAGATTGTTTTCTAGGAACGATATCATACTCATTATATCTTTAGAATAGAATAGATGGTCTTTATAAAAATTCTATAAGTATCATTCCATAAATCATCTTTCAGGTTTATTTTATTTTCTTCTCCACCACATCAGAAAAAAAAGAAAATAAGCACAACCTTAAAGAAGCTGGGAGGACTATTCCCAAGGTTTTTTAATGGACCTGTATTATATTGTAGTGTTGGCGATAGTCACCATAGACTGTGTTTTTTTTGTATGTTATCCAATTGAAAAGGCCATAAGGTCAAAATGCATTTTGGAGAGGTTAATTAAATATGGTGGGAGTTCAGTAATCCTGAGTAACTATGTTTCTGTAATTAATAATATAGGCAAGAAGTTTTTTAATATATTACATTTAAAGTAGTTCTTCAAACTTTTAAACTAGGTTAATAAATATAAAAGTTAGTTAATATTAAAAAAAATATATTCAAATAAACTGTATTTTCACTTAAAATGTATAAATTTGATACAGTCGACCCCCCTATAAGATAGAGATACGTTCCATTCTCTAGGAATCCGCTTTCTTACGAATCCTTCCAATCACAACCCGACACGTATCAAGTTTACGGACTACGGCTGTTTGAAAGGTTTTCTTCCATAAAATTAATCGATTCTAGACTAATCCGACTCAACATTTCCAAAATACGTATATATTTTTTGGGAATAATCCGTATAAACTACGCTATAAACAAAAAATTGTAGGATTACTTACCGAGTGTCACCATTCGACATTGCCATTGCTCAACATTGTTTTCGTCGCGGAACAGCTCAGCAAAGAGCGGCCGATTTCTAACAACTTATTTTTCTGTGAAAACTTCGTAGAACTTCGGAGACATCATTAATATAAATAATTTTAATCGCCGTTGAATAAGAAATGTTTCTTTCACAAGAAATGTATAAAATTACAGTACTGTATTAGACTTACGGTACCTAATTTACATACTGACAGACGATAGTTAGCGTAAAAATCTCCGTAGCGTGGCGCCACGCTAGACGGCGGAAATTATATATTTAATTATAACAAAGTTACAATAAGTTAATATATAATTATATATACAGTACCTAATTTATATATAATTAATATATAATTATATGTACAGTACCTAATTTATATATAATTTATATAATACTGTCCAGACGATAGAAATCTCTCCGTAGCGTGGCGCTACGGACGGCGGGAAAGTAGTTCGGCTTCCCGATGACGTTTGAGGTGTTTATAGGGAACTTTTACTATTTTTTACGGATACCGGTAGCAATTTTTTTGTAGTTTTATAGGAATCGTAACTATAGGGATCGTAATTATAGGGGGGTCGACTGTACTTGTACTTTTTTGGACATAATATGATAATGTGCAATAAAAGGAATAATAACTGTTAACATAACTCATCCATAGATAAATAAATAAAACTCACGCCAAAATTGTATAGCTTCTTGATAACAAGCACTGAGTTCAGCGTTAACATGATTTTCTTATATCGCAAGTACTTTCGACGAGTATTATATCGTCATCCTCAGGCAAAAAAGAACAAATTTGAAAAATAGAATGTGCAGAGTGTTCCAAGTAGAAAATGGAAAATTTTCTTGTCAATTTTTAAATTAGGAATAAAGTTGACATTTTAGAAAAATCAGGAGTATACGCAGTGCAACTAGAAAATCCAATAACGGGGATAATTGAGAAGTATATAGGGGCAACGACAAGAATGCTCGCTTGCCGCATCGCAGAACATCAGGAGGATATAAACAAAGGAAGACAGACCACAGAGCTCGCCAGAAAAGTTCTACAGCAGGGCTATAACCCGTTATGGTCAAAAACAGCATTGCTCAAGCGCTATAATAAATGAAGGATTACATTTATTTGGGAAGCACTCCTCACAATGACCACAGATACATGCAACTTCCCCACCCTCAACTTGCCCGAAATATGGATTACTTTATACCAGTGTTTAAATAACTCATCCATGATCACCTGTCACCGATGTTCAAAATTGTGAGAAGGAATTGTACTTTATTTTCATTTAGTACCATTTATTTTGTTTGGTTTTGGGGGCGACGATTCGTTAGAGGTTGAAAAACACTGATATATATGATACTCTCATGAAGGAAAAGAATAACAAATACATGTTTAATATTTATTTAACAGGTTTAGCGATTCATTTTCTACTGTAATACTACTATCTATCTTAGGCATGATGATAAGAGATAAATATTTGTATATACAGTAGAGCGTCATTTATCCGAAAGTCAGTTATCTGAAAGAATTCCAGCTGGCAAATTTAAAGTTTTGCTAGTGCTGTGGTGCTGCAATCTTTGGCTACTCCAATATTTTCTATGTTTATGTGTTTTAGCTGGCAGCACTGTCACTTTTGTGTGGTGTTTTTCTGAGGACTGTGTGTCATGCTGAATTGAACGTTTTTGATACTAGATAACTTCTAAAGTATAAATTTTTTTTGTTTTTATATTTTTCAATATATTTATTTTGTTTGTAAAAAAATAAAGAAATAATTTTTAACGAAACAATAGCCATGATTATTATTTTAAGAAGTTTATATTAGACTTAACATCAACGAAAATTCAATGCAAAGTGACACACAACGGAGAAAAATTTCAACACGGGATAGGTTAATGTATTTTTTTCATACATAATCGGTTATCCAAAAAATAAGTTATCCGAACAACCCCAGTCTCCAATTGATTTGGATAAATGACGCTCTACTGTATAATCAAATGAAAAGAAATACCTTATTTGTAACACAAGAAACATGTCTGTTATCACTTTCAATGGTAGTCTTGCAAGAATGGAGTCTTGTAGTGATCTTAGAAGTAGCAGAAAGTGACAGGTCTGGGTAATCAAAATTTTGGATTTGTACTTCAAGGGATGGTTGCAGTTAATTTATCTGTAGTGGTCAAAACCCATGTTGATCAAAATTATGTTAGCCAAGGGATATGTGTATACATAATAATTGTTCATATAATCATACTGCATAAATGTTATTTTTGAGTATATTTTCTTCATGTACTTTATTTAGTGACCAGCAAAATTTTTAAAAATGCTTCCAGGTAAATGAACTTGCTGGATATACTGCTCGCGTTTCAAGAATGATAACAGTGTTCGAAGAAGTAAGTCAAGGAAAATATCAGCGCACTCTTACTGCTTCTGCTAAAAGACCTGGGAAAAAATCTATATCAAGAGTCAGAGGATTGACATTCAAAGATGGAATGCCCGAAATTAAAGGTACAGTATATTTAAAATATGTATTGTTACAATAAACAAATGTCTTACAGAAAGCCCTACATTTTATGGAAATTTTATATATGTTAATAGCCTAAAAACAATTTTATAATGTATCAGATTAATTAGATAATTTTTTAAAAAGCTATATTGATAGAATTAACTCACTTCATTTTTAAGTTAAATCTACATTCAATAATTAGGATTATGATAAGTGGAATTGTAAAAATATAACATTCAAAGACTAAATTTAACTACCTGTTGTTTGGGTGTTATTTTGAAAATTTAAGATATTAAAACTAATTATATTTAAGAGACTGAATGATAAAATAATTCATAAATTATATATAAATTTTATTTACAAATTTTTATGGTCATATGATAAATTTTGCTGCCTAAGAGATCCCAATTCACATTTATATTGTCTATGATTTTTGTGGATGATTTGATTAGGACTTCATTCTTTGTCCTAAATTTATGCTGGTCAATTCTTTTTGACTGTACAGTACATGTAATGATTTTTTATACTAGTCTAGTTAATAATTTTCAGCTATAACAGTCATTCATAAACAAACTTGTTAGTCATTTTATGCTTGATTGGTTTCCAAAAATAATAATACTAATAAAATATTTTCTTCAATGGAAAATTAATAATCAAAATGATATATAAAAATAACTAGAAACTTACTTAAAAATTTTACTTAGATTACTTAAGTGATATATAAAAATAAATAGAAAATATGAATAATAATAATTAACAGCAATTTATTTAGTAACCATGGCTGCTTCTGATGATGCTTTGACTTATTGCACTTACAAGGTGACCTTACGGTCTCAGAAATTCAGTTCAGGGTGAGACTTTGCAGGTTAGTAGTATATATCAAGGGTGTCCACCCAGAAGAATTGTAAAGCACACTAGCCAGAACATTCTGAGAAAAAGGGCTTTAAAGTTTTAAGCACAGCTCATATACTGATTGATTTTATACTATGGCAGCACAGCCATAGTATAAAAGTTGAGAAATGGCTGAGTCTGTAGCGAACTTGCTTGCCATGCAGGCGATCTAGGTTCGATCCTACATTCAGCTAACTTTTTTTTTAATTGTTTTAAAAATTGTAACAACTTTTAAATAAAGTTAATGACCTAAAAATATTATCAATTAAATCATAAATAATTTTATTTTATTTATGAAATGACTGTTACAGCTAATTAAAATGTGAATTAAAGATAAAATTTTATTTTTAAAGAGTTGAATAATTTCAAATGTTTTCCGAAGGTAGGATCGAACCTAGATCGCCTGCGTGGCAAGCGAGTTTGCTACAGACTCAGCCATTTTGCTGTGCTGCCATAGTGTAAAATCAATCAGTATATGAGCTGTACTT